CACACTGTGGTGTGAAGAGGATTATTATTTTCTTTAGAAGTTTGTATTTGTCCCTGCTGGATTGCATTTTATTTTTCAGACCATTTTTCCAATTTAACAACCTTTTGATTCTAATCCTGTCTTCCAGTGTAACTGCAGACTTTTGCAGTTTGATATCATCAGGGATTTTCATAAACAAGTATTTTACTCCCCAGACCAGAAAAATTAATCTCCCTTGTCCTCTAGTAAGCCACTGACTGTTATTTTGAGTGTGCAATCTTTTTGCCAAACCAATACTTAGAAACTTCCTCGTTCATCCATGCCATTTACTGGTTAAAACACTTGTTTAGGAAATTTAAGACAGTCATTGGTAAAATCCCAGCTTCCATTTTCCTCTTTAAAAAGATGTGTGTTTGCCTTTTATATATTTTCTATCTTCTATGTGTTCTCAAACAAGTATTCTACCAGGCTTTTTTCAAATTAGTTGCTGCTCTTCATGATATTTAGCTGAATATTCCTATGACTAGCTGAAACAGTCTAATTTATCTGTACTACTCCTTTGCTTAACTCTTTTCACCAACAAATCAAACAATGACAAAAAAACGCGCTAAACAGTACGTTTTGACATTATCTTCTCATAGCATTCCAAGCTTGTTATTTCTGTCTCTCAGAAATATCTTTCAGTCATTTTTTTCTGTTTCTGATTTACTTCTAGGACTTTCAGGTGTATCAAATCTTTATTTCATTGGCTTACTTTATACCTTGTTTTTTTCCTCGTGATTTTTATATTGTCAGTGTGAACCCCATCTTTTTAAGGTCCCTCTCATACAAGATACCTTGTATGAGTAAGACAAGATTTTGTCTTATTAATTAGAAAGCTAGAGCTCAGAGTCTTTGTAGGTGTTTTCATTGTCTGCCACGATCAGCACATATCAAGAACCATCTGGACCAATCCTTTCTCAGATAGCCCCAAAGATACTCTCTTTTACAATGAAGTCCTTTATGTAGAGTCATCCACATACAAAGCACTCTTGAATGTTCTTCCCACTTGATTCTCCCGATTTTAAGGCATAAAGCAGACCGCTCTGAATTTTGTCTCCCTCTTAACCTGCCATAAACCTAGGTAGTGATATCTCCTACACTATTGACCTCAGAACCAATGTATGTAAGGCACCCCCCTTCCCTTCCTCTCTTGACAGCCCTTCCTAACGGAGTTATACACTTACTTACGGTTTTTGCCGGTAAAATTTCCTTATCCCCAAATGTACTATTCTAGGCATGTACCAATCCCAACAAAACCCACAAGTCCCTTTATCTATGTCAAGGACTCAACAGTATAAGCATTCTTAGGGCACACCTACTAGATCAGAGCCCATATAAAATTTGTTGATAAGAGATTCAGCGTTGTTATATTCAGAGACCATTAACTGGACCAGGTTGTGTACTCACCCATGACTCCACAGCTAAATGGTAAGAGCATTTACTTGGAAGAAAAAGGACTGTACTTCAGCAGGCATATTTTGTGGGGTGGTGGTGTTGTTTGGGGCGGGGTGTGTGTTTGGGGTTTTTTGGTTTTGTTTTTTTTTAATCTTAAGGCTAGGTATATAATTGTCATTCACTCTTGAAGAACTCCTGCAAGAGCTATCAGCAAATTCCTTCTGCAAAATATGCTACAAGTCTAAAAGAAGTGCTCTAATATAGAAGGTAAGAGGGAGGAAACTGAACCAGATGCTCCTACAGTCTTTTAAATAGGAGGTATTCAAAGGCGTGTGTTTGCGAAGCACATATATAATTCAAGTTTGTGTGATGCAAAACAGAATGTTTTACTATTACACTGTGGTCTACATTAGTATTTTCACACCCATTATGCAAAAATATTGGAGGTACCTCAGAACACAACTCAAACTTTATGTTAGATAACAGTGAATTAAACAATAACTTTAATATTTATCATAAGTCAGTAAAAGGAAGCACAGAAGTTTCATTTAAAAAACATCCTTTACAAATATTGATCTATACTAATCAGTCAATTCCATACCCTCTGCTCAAGTTAAAACTCTTTTTCCCATGCATGTATGTGTGGGGTGTCCAGGAAGAATGCTTCTCCTAAACCGTTCTAATTCTAGGTATTTTATATTGGTTTTGTTTAATGCTCATGAAAATAAATAGTATCACTCTTAAAAAGAAAAAAGTTTGCTCACAGAAGACATACTTGCATGACATTTGCACCCTTCCTGCACACGATATAGTCATTACCTTTACTGATTAAAGTTTACTTCATAACCAACATATTAAACTTGTTTTAATGCTTTAAAAACCTCTTCTTTTACAGATAGGCTTAACTACAATAATAAATTTAGATAAATGTTCTCAAGCCAAAAAGACTATTATCTTCAGATGCACAC